CCATCAGCGCGTCGGTTGCGAACAAATTCGTTTCAGGATTAGAGGAAAATGTTGAAAATGTCGAGCAAGCGTAGTGTCGTGAGTTCGAAAAGCAATGGCTGTATGCATGCATAAGGCGTGGAACTAATGGCAAACGCTTGGCAAAAGCGACACACGGATGAGAGCTCTGCCGATGATGAAAAAAATCACTGAGCAGCCGTGAAATTACAAAGTTTTTTCGGGGATTACGTAATAAAGGAGCGTCGATTTTTCTGCCGCGAGGCAGGACTGCGAACGTTCGAGTCCTTGCTGCCTCTCATTCCGGTTGGTTTGAGTGCACACCTCACGCTTGAGCGGAAAACTCTTATTCACGGTTTCGAACGAGGCTGAGCAAGAACGGGCGAACTGGTGTTCATTTTCCGAACGCGTCGAACTTTTGCGTCGCTCGTCGCGTTCGAAGCGTGTGTACGATGAGATTACGACCGCAGAACTGAGAAATCTACGGATTCAGCAAACCGACATCCGCCGTTCGATAACGAACTAATAGCTAAGAAAGAAATGAAATATGCAAGTCGCAAGAGTTTGTAACTAGATTGACAGAGAGAAGACAATACAGTGGCGCAAATCGATTGACAAACGAGAACGTGCACGCGGGTGTGCTCGTTTGTTAACATTTTTTGTTCGCTTTCTTAAAACGTCGAGTAATTTGCAGTACGTTTTGTTCGCTTGTTCGGCACCACGCGACACATGCGCGTTTACACATGGCGAACAAGTTACACAGATATTTATTAAACACACCCGTTTTGCAACAAACCCAAAACATTTAGACAACTATCAAGATAAGAATCATAATTTCTTTAAAAAAATTATTCATAGAGTGTTGCAATCAGCACTTGTTTCATGATTCCAACATTTTAATTTACGATTTTTCTTTAAAAAAAAACTAAGAAAGTATTATCTTGTTGGTTTTCTAATGTGCATTCTAATCACTTATAGGTAAGGCATACTTCTCAACAATAAATACCAATTGCCTGCAAGATAATATCAACGTCCATTAGTGTAAATGTGACTGGTAATGTAACAATGCTTTTATTCTGCATTTCGTGTCACGTGTGTGTTTAACAGCGGCGACCACAAACGAGAATATATTATGTAAATAAAAATAAACATAACCCATATTTTTTCTGTCCCTCGCAGCTCTTAGCACTCTAAACTCTCGTCGCACACACATTGATTACAAAGGCGAGGGTTGTAGGTTACCGCTCGCTATCAGCTATAACCTAGCAATGGCGAATACGAGAACATGGCGGCGCTCCACCCCGGAAGTCGCATGCGTGACAAATGCCATCGTAAAATGGAAATAATTATGTTATATTTTCGTAGAATATGAATGAAAATACACTCTCTGCTTGAACACAAAACGTTCTACAGCCCTTTCACAGTGTTCAATGTTACATAAGCAGTGTAATAAGTCATTTGTATAAGCGCAAGCAGCGAGAAATAAACCTTGTTGAGCAAAACATTTACTACACCCATTGTTATACAATTAAAAAAATGACATATTTTCAACAATTAATGTATGAGCCAAAAAAAATATTTGATTGATTTTATAATATTTATACCTATATAGGAATACCATGCTACCTATGCATGTGATATGTGGATTAAAGTATATTTAATATTATAGTAAGTATCATGTAAACCAAAATTGTCGTAAAAGTCACCACCCGTTAAATTCAAGTTAATTTCGTTCATCGAAACAGAAACGGCTTATTTGTGCACACACGCATGAACCCCAAACTCGATTATAAGAGGGGTGGAAAAGCAAATATCGCGGAATCACTACGCGAGAGTCATCGCTGCGCGTAATCGTATGATATATGATGACGACGCGTCGTTTTCGGCGCAAGGGTGAGGACGGAGGAGCCGATATCAGTACATGGTGTGTTTCCAGCCTCCGGAGCACCGCGCATCCCGTCGAGCCCTGGATACATTGTCCCTAAAAAAATTGCAATCACGCGAAAAATACTCAAAACTGTCGAAAAAATCGAACATGCCCACCCGCATAGCCGATAAAAACTTTACAATGCGTTGAGAAATTACATAATTCAAAACAACAAATCCGGAGGGGTGACACTTGTCTGGCAATCCGTAAATAGCAACATCCGATTTAAAATGTGCAACGATCGTATTCGCCGCAAACCGGAAATGCTGCGTGGTGTCTACGGCGCGTTGTGGGGTGATTCAGCGCGCCTTTCTACGTTTTGTAATGTGCAGAGAGGAAATGGTCCAAATGGCTCCATCACCGGACAAAAACAATGACGTTTCTTATTTACCCTAGTCCGGACTAGAATCAGATGGTCCGTATCTTCCGGCCAGTTAACCATCCTTTTCAGATGTGGAAATATATGTGCCATAGAGAAAAATAAAACTATTACTTTGTCAATACATAATAATAACGATTCCAATATGTCATCAACACTACAAGACAACCAGAATGCGCAGATTTTTTATTCGCTGCTTTCCTTTGTACTAACGTTAATACCGACTTTTTCTTATCTCAGCGCAGGGATGTTCAGCGTTTCCTCCGCAGCAGAAAAATAGACGCAAGGAGTAAAAGTTAAAAGATGCAACAATGAAAGGAGGAAAACAAAGAGGAAAAAATCGCAAACTTTTGTAGCGATCTCCCTTTATCTCCGATCTAACGCTTAATGAAGTGCAGACATTGATTAAGAGCCTATTTTAAACTCAATCTTTAATTCAATCGCATTAAAATGAGGCTGTTCTGTGTGTAGGTATGAGTGTGTGTGGCTTGGGCACACAAAGCGGGGTGAATCCGTTTTGCAGTAAGCCGGCAGATGAGTTGAGCCCGTAGCGCGGCGACAACTTTTTTAATCAGTTGATTCCGGAGATTACTTTCGCGCGCCGATAGGAATTAATGAAATTAGTATCGATGTTTGCCGTACGGCGACAGTTTCTTTCGGGTACGTCGCGAGATTGCTTCTCATTAAGTCGACGCCGTTTGAGTTGTCGTGTCTTCTTCGGGCGCGTGTCGACATTTATTATGATCTAATCTATCCAATCAAAATTGGATTTTGTACATTGTGCCGAAAGCACTTTCGAAGTTTAAAAAACACAATATAAATTTATTCCTGCTTAAATTTTTAAAAAAATTGTTTAGAGCACAATAAAAACTAGAAAAAAATAATTAAGTTTTTTTCTTTCAAATCAACTTTGTTGACGTCGGTAAAATAACAAATGAATGGATACATTTTCATTTAATGCTTGATTAATTCCAAGCCCAGAAAGAAATGTGAGATTAGCAAATCATTACACCCGTTTCAATTTGCAGCCAATATAGCAAAGTTTCCACTCACTGGTTTTGATAAATATTGATGTCGCCTGGCACAATCAAGTCTGTCGGGACTGTTTCTGATCCGCAAGAACAATGTCAATGCGTGCACTGGTCGGCGGACCACCCGTATTTGCAAACTCGTTTACCGATACGCAAAAAGTGCGTAAATAAATCCATTAGAGTACGTGTTACTCATTCATGTATGAGAAATGTCTGCTGTAGGAGACAGTCGTTGCCGCCGCTGCCGGCATTGACGCGGCGCACAATTTTTCAATTAGTCGTTATTTATGCAATTGCAACTGCAACTTAAGACGAATGAACTTGCGCATGCCTTCGGCTGCAACTGACAACTCGGGCGGTTTTTCAGTGCTTGCAACGCACAAAGGGAAACACGTCGTTCATTTCAATCGGAAATAAATAAAATTAGCACATAAAACGTCGCGACGAATGTTTGACATTCTGTTACTTTCGCTCGGCGAGTGCGCGAGCAGAGATTGATTTGTTCAAGAGTAATTAAAATTCAAGTCTGTCTTCAAGTAACATGTTTTAAAGTATCTACATTTACCTTACTTACTTGAAAAAATATCAACTAAGAGCAAAAAATGTTTTTAATTAAATGTAACACCAACTGGAAAAGCAACAGCGGAACAAAAGTTTAAAATTTTTTATAGCTTTTGCATTTTGCGGTAAACTTATTTTATTGTCAGCTTTGTTGTTAGTTTTCTTGCATCACACTTGACTACCGCCCGTACAAACTACGGCGTTAATAAATTAGCAGGTACATTGAATTTAATGTGGTCGTCGCACAACGGCAGCCGGCAGGATTTACTGGCATAATTTCCATTAGGACGAAAACACAAAGACCGCGCTTTTCCATTCCTTTATACCCTACCGGAGCATGCGTCCGTACGTTTGTACACCGGAAATCGCCGTCGAACGACAATCGCATGACATTTACTTTCGCAACGGTGGCTTTGCCCTGCACCGCCCCCGCGTACTCTTCCCGCTCGCAAAAACAAAAGTTACGGTCAATAATAAACCGGCAGACGCATCCAGCGCGCGCCATGCCATCATCCCGCCATCCTGCAAATACAGCAGTTTTAAAGCCCCTTACACTGATAAAACGCGAACGGGGATTTGCCGGCTGCCTACGTCGAATCGGTCGCTCGTTCGCGTTTGCTCTCCGTTCTCTGTGTTTCTGCCCCCGCTAGCGGTGGACGCGTAGGTGGGTGCGACACGGGGCGGCTATATTTTCCGCGCGGATTCCTATTAATGTGTGCGCTCTGTCGCACACGTTTTCATCGGCCGTACGTCATCGCTCATGCGGAAGATGTTGGGAATGTTGGGATTTGAAAAGCACCAACACATGTCGGTGTGAGTGAATACGGAAAATCGCCATACGCTGTTAAATAGCTGAACTTTTTATTTTGTTATAAATGCATTTACTTATTTATAAGTTAGTCCTTGAACTAAATTTTAAGTTTCGTAAATATACGATAATAAATATTGAAACCCATGGGTGAAAATTTCCTAAAGTAATATTAATATGGCCATCTCACGGCAGAGAATCAAAGTTGTCTAAACATGCTAGTGCTGTCCTCAGTTAGCAGCCGATCCAATCAGGTAATTATACTGCAGTTTTCAGCATTAGCATTACTTAAAAGAAAAAAAAAACAATTTATTTTAATATGGTGTTTATGAATCGAGAAATGTTTAATTAAATGTTAATATCTAAAATTTTTCTTCTTAAACATATCCAGCAGGAGTATTAAGCTTTTATATCAATATCAAACTCAATTTATTAACCTAGAATTTATTTTGTCGCCAGATTACATGTTGATTGCCGTCGGATCCTGCTAAGCAAGTAATATCATGATTATATTGTTCAAATATAAAATGCAAACATATTTTAAGGCGATAAGACTTCGTCTTTTCTGATACGGATTTTATACTAAACCGGCGATATGTGATACCTACACAAATGTTTATGACAGCGTGTACAGTATGAACGGTATCAAGCATAACCGGCTTCCTGCAACGACGTGGATGATTGGTACTATTAGTATATAGTGTATGCCCATCGCCCCGCGCGGCAATTGCATATTTAACTAGTCGCAGAATTCGTGTAAATCGTAGACAAGTGTGCGTGAAGTGTTATTGTATTAGTTGACACAATTGTGCAGAATCATGTCTAGTATCAAAGCAGAAGCAACAACGTTGCAGGTGAATGATCGAAGTCGTCTGCTGAAAACAAAGTTTGCCGAAGTCTTCAAATGCCCACCAGAGTTTTATGTACGCGTCCCAGGCAGGTATAACAGTTAGAAATTGTATTTGCTATATTTTGCTTTTATAATTTGCTTTACAATTAGTATTTAACTTTTATTTCCATTCCGATGTTTTCCTGCAGAGTAAACTTAATTGGGGAGCACATCGATTATAGCGGTTATGGAGTGTGCCCAATGGCTTTGCAGCAGGATATCCTGCTAGCTGTTTCTACTGATAACGAGGGGTCGCTGCGATTGGCAAATTTGGATGAAACCTTCGCATCCTACGACTGTTCCATCAGAGATGTCTCGTAAGTCTGTATTTTTGGAAATATATTGTATAATAGCTTAATTACATAATTATATATTAGGAAAATTTGACTAAAGTAATATAAACAAGCCAAATGCAATTTTAAAACGTAAAAAGCTATTGGTTTAAATTAATATTTTCAGAATTGATTTGACTGACGGCGCACCCCAGTGGTATCAGTATTTTCTATGCGGCGTGAAGGGCATTTGCGAATTAATGTCGATAGAGGCCAGATTAAAAGGATTATGTGTGATGGTCAGCGGCACGATTCCGAAGAGCGCGGGATTATCCAGCAGCAGTGCGCTCGTGTGCGCCGCTGCCCTGGCGACTGCTTTTGCTCACGAAGTAAGAACTTCACTGCTCTTTTTCTGTACTTTTCTTTCGAGAGTTAAAAGCATTGGCCGGCGCGCCAACGTAAGCCGTAAAAGTTTTCGTTTTCGTAAAAATATTTTATTTTATTGCTGCTTGCTACATATTACTTATGACACGTGCGGATAAGAGCATCACCGTACATCACTGAGATCAAAATTGAAGTTTTTCTCTAGTTAGAATGCTTTTACAATTGAAAAAATGATTTCGCTAATAGCTACTAAATTGAATTACAAATATTTCGAGTATGCGTTTAAAAGCGGTTTTTATTTACGTAGTTATTTCAATCAAACGGGAATCAAAACTAATCAATTGCTAAAATATCAAATTTTTCATCTTCCAGTGAAATAAATTGTCATTTTCTGTTAAGTGACCCTGGTAAAACCTGATCCGGTCGATTTTGAGTTTTGTTTTCATAGATTCATTAGATAATTTCGTTTTTATTGCTTTTTGGTATTGATATAAGTATTAATTTTACATGTCGTAAAAAATCAAATTACGCAATGACATTTTTGTATTTGTATTTGGTAGTGAGCTCAAATCTATAGGGAAATTATTACTGTTGACATGTAGTTGATTACAACTGCCAAAGGACACCGAAAACAAATATTCTTGATATTCTTGGTATCATTGACGAAAATATAGCACCCTGTATAAAATGCTATCTTCTAGCGTTATAAAACATACATCAAATATCGTGTTTGTTTTAAATTCAAAGTGCGGGATAACATTTGAAATTGGATTGGAATTAAAACGTGAACTGAATTTTAAATAAATTTTATGTCACATCGCGAGCACACGTGCCATAAGCATAAATATTGTCGGACTCTATTCATTTTCTATATGTTCTTTACACCAGTGGCTGCCAAACTGTTTTACTCGTATATTTCTGTGCAGTAGCAAAACGACCAAGATTCAATTTTTATTTTGAATTTTAATTTACTAATTGGTACATTTGCATTATTAAAACAAATAGCGCAATGCAGTTTTTCTTTCTTAAAATTTTTGATTTCTTTTATGGTAGATATGTTGGCAAACACCTGCAACTCTTCAAGGCGTAAATAAAAGTGACATTTTTGTTGACATCTTCGCAAACTGTTGAGCGTATTTTATATTCATTGCTTGTTCTCCACACAACATGTGATATATATGAATATATGATAAGACTCAGCACGACATCATATTGAACAAAATATGCAACCACACATAAACCTTCTGGAACAGTATAGGTATTTAAAATGATTTGATCCCGAAATATTTTTAAAACAAATGGTTATTTATACAAATTTATTCAAACATTTAAGCATATGCTTGCAATAAATTATATAAGCCATACATCAATTTTTAACTTATGCCAAAATTGTGCGGTGAAAACACTGTGAAAGATGTGCGAATGCAGCGTAGGCAAAAATTTAATGCTTGCGGTCGTTGTGGAGTGTGGAGGCTAAAATCTGGTTGCCCGAGGGTGAAAAGCGAAGCGATAATGAAGGTGAATCGTGTTAAAAGTTTGCCAACACGGCCATTAAGCCAGGACCTCGACTTTCTCATCGCGCTCGAAGTAATTTACTTTATTTACAAAATAGGAATTTATGAAAAGGGTAGCAGTTTTCTGCTCGTTTCCGTGGGGTCTCAACGCTGAATTTGGCATTTCATCAGCGCGAACCGTTGCTGGAAGAAACACGAATTTCGAGCCGAAGGAAAGATCAATATTGTTTTGAGTTTTCAAGCAAATCAGCATTTTTGTGCCGATTTTAGGGCAGGAGTTTTGGAGTGACCCGCTTTCGACGCCAAAGTCGAATAGAAATACGCGAAATATGCAAATGCGTTGGTGGCGGTGATCCTTTGCATGTCTTTAGGTGAGGGAGGATTGCGTGCGTGTGAAACGAATAGTCCCACATCGGGGCTAGGGCCGGCCGTGTCACGAATGGCAATTTAGGTTGACTCGCCGCGCTCCACTCCCAGAACCTTTCGGTCTTGCAAAACGTTTGTCTGTTCGAGAACGGCGATCCACAAATCCTCGACAATCTTCGCACGCAACACCCGGCGAAATGCGTGCGTGTAGTTTATCCCTTGCTCCTTGTTGAATATTTATGCGTGGCACTTATGTGGCAACCACAAATACAGCGATAACAAAGCTATAACAGATTTAACAACTTCCCCTTATAATAATAATTGGCTCGTAATCTTTAGATTTGATGCCAACAATGTTTTTCTTGTGCTTGGAATCAACTGAAAATTTGACCCGGACATATTCGAAGAATGGTCGTGTAATGCGATAATTTGATGATCTAATGATGTGGTATCAATTTGCAGATCGAGCTTTCCAAGGAGGAGATTGCGGATGTGTGTGCCAAATGCGAGCGCTACATCGGCACTCAAGGAGGCGGCATGGATCAGGCGATTGCGTTCCTCGCAACCAAGGGTAAGCCACCACCATTGAGTACGTTACGAACGAGTGAGTGATACGCGCAGCAGAGCGAGGATAGTGCCGCAACCGGGTGTTGTTTGTGATGAAATATTTATGAGCATGATTTCTTTTGTTGCGGAAGGATAAAAGCCGAAATCTATTGAAGTCTCTTGCACACTATTTTTTCACATCCGGGAACACTAAAAGCGTTGAAGTATACTAAAGTCTTCCTTGATAAGACTACTACCTTTTATCATTATCGAAAAATCTGTTTTATTATGTCATAAAATGTCGTTAATAACTGATATGAAAATCTGGTCATAATTAATTATTCAGCGTTTCGTTTGCCAAAATTATATCAGGCTTAGAATTATGACCAAATTCCGCTTTAATTAATTAGTGCTAAACTACCCACTAACCAAGGCGTCGGATGCAATATCATATTTCATTTCCTATAACTATAAATTCAAAATATGTAGCTATGTATCTAAAAGTGATGTGATTTATATCCTGATATGTCATATCTTATCTCTCGGTCCAGACCGTATATACATTTATACTCATTTATAAACGTGAATCGCATAGCTGCCTCCCCATATTTTATTCCTAACAAAGATATAAATGTGTTTTTTTTGTTTGAGGGTGGTTCTTTTGTCTTTTGAATCAAGCAAAATTCAAGTAAATGTTACGATTTTGTCATTTTTGTTTGTCAACAGCACAAGAAAGATATTTGTTTTTTGTTTCACCAAAATAATGCAATTATTGTGTAGGTACATATTTATTTTTATATGAATATACTCATTTCTGAACATTTTGAAATAACAACTGCTTATTCGGGTAACTTCCGAATTTGAATATATTTCTCAATATTTGCATCGGTTTGCTAGATGATTATTTGAAATGGGAATTAATTTTTCCAGTAGTGTGTGAGCGAATTTCGAAGATTTAATACACAAAAACCTAAACGTGGAAATATAGTAGAAGTAGAAAAAATAACGTAAGCATCATGTGGCCAAACGTTGTTACACGAACAAACATTCCCGCTTAACCATTTGATACTTAATAAATTAAATTTTAAATCTTTACTTTGCATGTCTGGATTTATATCCATCAGAAATAATAATCAAAGTTTTAAGTATAACTTATCATTTACGTCATTGCGAATTAAAATATCGATACACGACTCTTGAAGGCAAAGTTTTATTACTTTCGCTTATTTCGTTCATTTATCTTTTATCGGCGCCAAACCATCACACGCCTTCGCAGTTGCCAAATGTTTAATTTACAAATTGACTTTCCTAATCGATTAATGATTAAGGATTAATTGCGCCATTGGCGCGAGTTTTGGCTCGGCGTGAGCATAGAATAATAATTAATCGATATTACTGCGTTAGTATTCACTGTTTTTAATTAAGTTAAAAATTACGGGCACGTCCGCGTCGAAATTAATTCATGGGTGCGAATTAATATTTCATTACGCTGTCTTTAGACCCCAGAACATCGGGGACTCAATCCACAATTATGGGCGTGCGAACGTTTCTTTGATCCAGCAAAATCGTAAAGGGTTACGGGACATATCACGCGAGCAAATTTAGTTTCCAATTTACACATTTAAATATTTATCAGTCAATACTGCTCTTAATTAGGTATTTTCCATTCCGTGTATAACCTAAATTAATAACGAGTTGCTAGCATTTTCCTTTCAAACTTAACTCAAGTTTTAAATTCAAAATTTTAAATTTACTTACTGTTATTTAATCGTGATTTTTCGGGAATACGTAGAATGGGGTGGATTATTGGGAAATGTGCGCGCTTCATTTCTGAACGGTGTGGTTGGCATAGTGCCAATTTCCCAGTTGTAAATCACGCAAAAAATAAGTTCATGTAATCGTTTTACTTTTGTTTGGCTGAAATATTTCGTGTAAGCTTCGTATGCAGACTAGACGCGGAGATGCGAGATTTACGAGTGGGAGATGATACTTTTATTCTGCATCTATAAATAACTTTGCTCATAAGTATTTCAATTCCAACTACTAATTTACCGTGCTATTATGCATTTCAACACAATGGATTTAAATAACGGTTAAGAGTCACCTCCATTTCAACTACTTTAATTATAATAAAGTTGTTTTGACTGAAATTTAGCAAAATGTAACTATATTGCCCCCTATTTTACATCAGAATTATGAAGAATAATTTTAAAGATATAGACAGATGATTTGAATCAGCTCTAAAGTGCAAAACTTGTTATAAACGCTATTCAAACTCAATGTGAATAAAGTTTTAAAATTGTTGTTGCCTGTAAAAGTCTGGATAATAAAACAAATTGGAAATAATTGTGAGCTATAGAAATAAATATTTTTTTAATATGAAAAAGATGATGATGATGTTCGGCCTGAATCGAAAGATAGCTTTAAGCATATCTAGGAACTTAACATACAACGATGCGAACAATAGGTACCTACGGCTAGGTTTAAATTGTGAGCAATTTCAGCAACTTGTATGCATATCAGGAATGCATATTCCAATGAACTTGGGACATTGGCCGGGAGCATAGCGCTGACGCAATTTGTTTCGCCATGTTCTACTATTTTACATTTTATGACGGAATATGCATAACATTTTCTCGGCGGGTTGGCACACCGTAGCGTATAAATGAAACTTTCATGTACTCATTATGTGCGCCCTGCATGCAGTTTTAATTTAATTACAGCAACCCAAACGAACACGTTTCTAATTAGGTCAATATAATTTCGAATGGAATTTATTTACGTGCGAATTAAACCAATTTAATCAATTTTCTTTATCAAGATTATTAAAAAAAGGTTATGTTTTTTTCATGTGATTTATTTTATAGTCATTGCTGCAAGTGCATGTCATGGCATATAAACAGTTGACAAGCCCAAAATCCATACTTGGTTAGTGCTGATAACGAAACAAACGGAAATTGTGCGCTTACCTCAAAGCAATTAAATTCTTCGTGTATACACGTCGAGTTTCATTTTCTAGTATAGGTTTACATTGTCGGTCGCGGTTTCAATTCATGTCGAATATGTATTTCAAGTCCCCCGGAAGATTCTTAGCTTTAATTTGCACAGCGTTTCAAGTGAAGACATTTTATATTCATGATTTAACGTGAAGCGAATGGATTAAAACAACATACTTGGATGTATATGCATTGCACCGAGTACAGTCGTAAAATCAAGGAATGTTTTGTTTGAGTGAAATTACTAACAAGTCTATAACGAAGTAGGGTGCATCTTGCATCTTGTTTACGCGTAATTTCAGCAGAAAGTACGCTTCTACGATGGGTCGATACGCGTTAGTGCTTTCATTAGCAGTGTAAACACATCGTGTTCCTTACGAATATAATGGATACAGACGACCATCCATATACAAACTGGATTAGTTAATAAAATAAAATTAAATCGAAAAACAATGCAATGTTTTGAAAGAATTTGAAAAATTGTTTTTAATTAGTCTTCATTAATTAATAACTCCAATAAATAATTCATACTTGTACGTTTTATGAAATTAAGCTATTTTATATAAATTTGGAATTTTGAACCTTTTTGTATTCGATGCCGTTAATTGTGTTATGAATTACCTATAGCCTGTGGAACGGCCGTTCCGTGAAACACGCAAAAGTGCGATGTGATAATTGAGTTACAAAATCATTACGTGACTTGTGATTTTCGATCTCAACCATCCGGTCGACAGGATACCGGCTTTTGACTCTGCGTTGGGTTCTACCTTGTCGACTCTCTAACATTTAAACATGACGCGGGTGCTGAAAAATGAGATTGAATAAATTGTCAATTTGATTCCGAGTCGATTAGAACACCTACGTTGTGACAGGTCAAATTACACTGCCGATACTTTTGAGGTAAGCTCGGAGTTATATTATACTGATAATTGTTGACCACGAGAAAAGAAGTCAGTGAATTGTTGAGGTTAGTTTCTTTATTTATAATATACCTGCAGATATTCCTATATTTTATCTACTACTATTTTATTCATTGCCATAATCTTTTATTAAAACTGTTGTCAAAGTGTTATTCTTGTCGCCGCTTATCTTATAAACCATAATTAATTAAAAAAAAAACAGTATGTACTTCCTGACATGAATTCCAAATTATTTATTAGGTACTTGCTAAACCTTTTCATTTGTGTAGTTCGGTGTAATTGAAACTAAAATTGCATCTGAAAATGGTTGAAGTATAAATCGATACTGGTCTCTTGCTGTAAGAGCAAGTTGTTGATTTTAATTGAATGAACGTGATTTATTCTCTCCTAAAGGCATCTATAAAATACTGTACATCACGCAGGTGCAAACATTTATGATCGTTGGTCTTCACATTATGTGTGAAGAGAATCTTGTTTCCAGGAAATTAAACCATTTTTTATCATCCGGGTGTCCTTACGACACTTTGTTTGCACTTTGGGTGGTAGAGTATAACAGCCTCGAGACGTGGGTAGTTGAAAGCTTGTTAATACCGGCGAACTATAAACTACGATAAGACTAGACGATGAGAATGCTTTGACTGCATGCTCCTCGTACACCGGCCCGGCGAAAATTGTTTACGAGCCAACTAAATCCTTCCACAGCATCGGCTCTTCGCGCAATATTATGTGCCGTTTATTGTTTTCCCGTTCCCGAACGCTGACGGTCGAAAACACGATTGTATTTTCATGTGCGGAAAATTCCATGAGGCATAACGACCCCGAAACGAGCAAACTTTTTTTTCGCGTGTCCAACCCACACGTCTACGGGATTAAACCAATCCGCACTATATCTAGCTCTACTATACGAAAACATAAAATGATCTAAAAAATACAAAAGAAGTTCGTAAAAGTAGCAAACAATAAGCAGAAGTGGAATCTAGAAGATGCGCGAAGAGTGTGAATAAAAGAACACATCACAAACTGCGGGGGAATTTCCAACTTCCATTAGGATCATAAATAAATGAATTCCGCAGAGATTTCCCATCTTTTCTCATGCAACAATGAACTTTATCTAATTTTTTAGGATGTTAAAAACAAAATTAACAAAAATCAGGAAAACCGACATTTCCAATAAACTAAATAACTACTCTATTAATCAATAACAATAACTCAGTTAAACTACTATTACTTTTAGTGCGCCAAATTGATGAATTATTTTATAAATTTAACGAAGTTATATTGTTGCCAATTTTAGTTACATTGTCAATGAAACTCTCCCCAAGAGACATCAATTGCGGCAGGCACAAATCTATTAACTTGTCTTATTGTTCTTGGTTTACAGGTTGCGCCAAGCTAATCAAGTTCGATCCGCTGCGATCGGAGGACGTGCGGCTGCCGTCGGGGGCGGTCTTTGTGATCGCGCATAGCCTCGCCGAGCTGAACAAAGCGGCCACCGCCGATTACAATTGTCGTGTCGTCGAATGTCGTCTCGCCGCGCAGGTAAGCGCAAACGTAACGTAATTACTCTGTGCCGGATTGTACTCGATTCGCTTAAATTTAATGCGTCGATGTGGAACAATCACTAATTATTCTGTTTTGATTACTACGCAGTATGATTTATACATATTAAATCCACATTTTATTTGTACCATAATATCATTTATTGTGATGAGAACTTTTTGACGTGCACAGATTTGTTTGGCGGCATTTACATGAATTAATTTATGGATTGCAAATATTTGTTTGTTACTACGGATTCTTCATTGCCGCGAATATATAATCAAATTAATTATTCATAAGTTAGCGTAGCAGCCACGCTTTGTGTCAACATTGCGTCGTGAAATTATGAAAATTTGTGATTCATGAGCATCACTTCCGAAAGCGAGGTAACTTTCTTGAGCTTTTCCCACCTGAGCTTCTAATCTAGGATTTGCATTTCCTGATAATCACTGAAATAACATTTTTACATTTTCATCCCCGGAGAAAGTGAGGTGAGTATTTCTTTTGCGCGTTTCCCGGGTTCTAAGCTTTGTCTAAGCTTTGAAGACAATTTCAAAGGAAATGTTCACGTGTCCGTGACAACGCCATAACACTGTTGCGGCGAGGCGAAACTACGGGGACAAACTTTAGCATTAATTTTAAAGCTAGCCTGCGGGGGTTCACGGCGCATCTACTTAAGCGTGACATCTTGACAGGAAATGGCGGCCATGCTTTTAAGACAAGCTTGCGACTTGTTGGAAGTTCCTCGATAATTAAAAAGTTAATCGTAATTGTGCTTCGCAAAGCGACGCACTTGACTCTACAGCAATTGAATACAAATTTCAGTTTCACACTTTATAATAACTTCTAAAATATTATAACTTTGGTATTTTTGAAATGTAGATAATTGCAAAAGAAAATGGGTTGGAATGGAAAAACATAAAAAAGCTAGGACAACTTCAATCAATTTTAAAAGTCGACCTAGAAACAATGTGCAACTTTGTGAAAAAGCATCTACACGGAGATATATACCAAAAAGATGAAATAATGAAACTGCTCGAGACAACGCCCACTGAACTGGAAAGCACTTCGTTGACTGCAAATACTACCCGAATGGACACATTCAAGCTCTACCAGCGTGCCATGCATGTTTATGAAGGTAAATGTTTGTTTACTTTGATTATTACACAGGTTTTTGGTTCAAAAATTTTAATTTTACAAAGGCTTAATATTAAGTTTACATTCGCGTTTTTACATTTTTAAGCAGCAAATACTCAGCGAGAGCTTAAAACTAATTACTGTACCAAATAATTCCTTAGTTAATTTGTGATGAGTTCCAGTACTGCAGGCTAATCTTTATTACGTTGCGAGCAATTAATGTCAAGAACATTAACGCAATAAGACCTACACATTTTAAATTTAATTTTTCCTTTTCCGTTAATTATATTTGCGTGTGTTTTAACGTCGCAAAGCTAGAGACTGTTTAACGTTTTAGACGTACTACCGGGGTAAAAATGCTTTTACGCTTTTACATTCTTTTTTAATTATACCACGTTGACGTTTTGCAGAGGCGTTGCGCGTTGAACGTTTCCACGCAGAGTGCGCCAATTCAGTTGGCGGAGGCGCCAGCGGCGAGACAACGTTGGAGGCGTTGGGCAACCTTATGTTAGCGAGCCATGCCAGTCTACGCGATTTGTACGAATGCAGCCATCCGCAGTTGGACCGACTTGTTGAATTGTCTTCGGGATTGGCATATGGTGCTCGTCTCACTGGAGCTGGATGGGGAGGTTGTGTTGTTGCTCTGCTTGCGAAGGAAAATGTCGACCAATACATGACAATGTTAAAACAGAAGTATTACAAGAGTTGTCATCAGATAATTAAAAATGGTGACGATTCGGAATACAATTCGATTTTATTTGCTACCGAACCACAGTCTGGTGCCAGTGTTTACATCGATTAAATATCCATACATGAACAAACTAATTAACCGCAGGGCATTTATGTAACACAGTGTAAGAAGAAATTTATCTTGATTTTTTTTATTGTTTTTATGGTGATGGTAATAAATTTAAATATTATTGATTTTTATATAGTAGCTACAAATTACTATTTTTTTTAGAAACATAATAAATTAATGTAATATATGCGATTTAATAAACTTGTTGTCAGAATTTATTTAAGATAAGTTTATTTTGTGATGCGTTCCAAGCTTATATACCTTGACGTGGCTGCACATTATTTCGAAGACAAATCACCTTTATAAAAGCGCTACGTGATCACGCCGGCGTTGCGTTTATAACAATTTAGAATGCTTATTTTGGCTTTCATTGGCAGTGATAAAAACGCGTATGGCGCTGCGAGTCGTTAGGTAAAAGGTCAGGAACGAAACGAGGTTTCCGACAGCAGTCTGGCGTCATTAAACCACACACGACTACCGGCAAACATACGCTAAACTCATCTAATGCTTCCAATTTGACCAGGCATTTTCAATTACTCTAAAAATACTTTCTTGTGCTTTAGTTGCGAGCATCAAATGTACTCAGGAGTTTTCACAATCCGGGTTATTTTTAGAGTTTCGTTAATAATAAGTAGCGTCAACACACATTACCGACATCTGAAATCCAATGTATGTAGAAAATTATTTTGTGTTGATCAAATTTTGTTTCACTTTTTTGCAAATAAGTATTTTATGACACACATAACCTATACAATAGTATATTTAGTATAAAGTGGCTAAACATGGGCTTTAGTTTTTTAAATCTTCGAAATTCTCTCGCATACTACTGGGAAATGTAAGATTATAAATGCTGTGCTGCGCCGACACGAGCAGAGCAGTGCCTGCTTTGTTTGACTGGTGGCGCACCGTAGGTAAACGCGCAGGTGCATGCCCCGCCCTAATGCTCAAGGATATAGTACTTTACTCACGGCTTGGCCGTCTTTATATAAAGTACCACTTTTTGTGTCTCAAAACCGTGGAAAAACTGGCGGGTTATATGTGGAAGTAGAAAAAATGATTACGATCTATTTAGCAATGTCACGGTCCTCGGTATAATTATTGGATTTACGAGCACACGCGGATTTCCAGATATGAGTACCTATTTAGATGATCCAGAAACTATATTGCATAACTAATTTGACGACCTTAACGACATCACTATTTGCGTTACTGCACGTGCGCTGAAACTTGTGGTTGGATTTTTGCATTGCTGATTAGTAATTACCCTATTTATTTGGTGTCTCATCCTCAGAGAAATCAACGCACATTTTCCATGTTTGCCCAGCAAAAATAACGCAACATGTATGATATTACGTCTGACAAAATTTGGGGCAACATGAAGGATGTTGAGAGCTTTATTGGAATAATTTATTCTGGTGCAAAATAATTATTCATAAAGTTCGGATTTCATATTTATTTATTAGAGAATGATTTATATACTATCTTCGCACTGTGGTACATTTTTCGTTTGCGATGTTGCAAGGCGTATATAAATTTAATGAAATTTGGCACGTATTCTATACTTTAAAATCTCTGCTCTCGTTGACACTCTTATCCGTTGGTGTGTAGCGCTTTATATTATATTATTAATATACAGTGAAGATCTGTGAATATTGCTGAGTACCTATTGTGCAAACGCAGCAGAAATTTTTATTATATTATAATGCATTCTTCTTGTTTATTATATACATACATTTGTGTTCTCTGAAGATTAAAAGTTAAAAATAATAAAAAAAACTATTCTTTTATACCTTGGGTTAACTGTTTAGTGTAATGTCAAAAAGTTTTTATTGACACAAATTTACCCAATTTGCCGAATTTTCCATTGTGCATTTATTTATATTTTGTACTTCACAATTAGCGTTTCTGCTAATTACTGCTTTGCAGCTCGTTCGTCGAATCAAACCAATTGTTCAACGTACCTACCCTTCGAAATTTGATTGGCAGATATTACAGAGTTAGCACTATATTATTGAAACAACGATTTACAATTTTGAAATAAATTGTTAGCAAATGTTACCGTAAATAAACAACAAATATTAAGCAGTTCGGAGGGCAAATCAATACACACATTCACTATCAATACATAAAGAAGTGGCAAGATAAGAGATCTCAAGACGCTTTTTGAGTAATTGCGAACTGAATTTTCGATTCACGTGATGAATACCGGAACCTATTATTGATTTGAAGAAGAAAAGAGAATTTCTAAAGCTATCGTATTCACATCCATCAAGGCAGTCCAATTTTTTTTGTTCGAATTAAATTATCTTCACGTTGTAAACAGGTCAGTAAAATGCTTTTTATAAATGTATGCCTCTAATGTATTCCATGAAAATTGCAAATGACAAGAATTAACGATGGGATCTGGAAGAGGTAAAACTGATATAATGAATGTGCGAGTCTGCACTGTTGCTAGCGTGCAAATATATCAATGTAGTAGTAGGTATTAATTGATAATTTATCATACATTGTTCCAATTAATGCATGCTTGCAATAAAATATTTGCGTATTATTTTTTAGTTACAAACTGGATAAATATAAACTTGTTAAGTAATGAAATTTCATAAATCTAAAAAAAAATTATTATAAAATTTAGCGAATAAAGAATAATTTGATTTGCTATAAACAGGAACATCTTTTACTTTCGATTTAATATGTCTACGGATCCGCCCACTTTCTTGTTTCTACTGAATCGCCATTTCCGTCAGCAGATAATTTAGCAAAAACTCCCTTTTATCAGGATCTAAACATATATTATTTTGTTTTGTTCGCTTGAGGTATAATTAAATAAATGATCTTTCCACAGCGACTATTACAGTCTAGACTTGACAGAAAACCTCTAAGTAATTATACAGGCGGTGGATTTGTTGACGCAGCCAAATGAAAACCAGACTGAAATCAAGCGAAAACAAGACTAGCGTAGAAATCAACAAATCATCAACTGATTGATGGCAATGTGCAAACTCATGGAAAGCTGTGTGATATTTCGAATCCTACTCAGTTACCTTCGATTTGTCGTTAGATTAATATTCCCAGATAACTACATAATTAGGCTATTCTCGATATAAGTTACGATGATGCAAGAGAAATTTGAGCTTAGCATATCCGGTGTAGCACTAGCTTTAAGAAAATGTAATCGCTTGTACAAATGTAATTTTCCTCGAGGGTGCATTGTCACATTTTCTTGTTTCTCTTATATCTCTTAGTTAAGTCGATTTGCTAGAAAGGCAAGCAAAGTACGAACACAAAGCAGCACGAAGCGGAAACACAAAGAAGATGAAGAAGTCTTAAGATACGCGAGTCGGACGACCCGCACCAAGCCTTCTTTGTGGTTCCAGCAGCTGGGCGGAGGCTTTTAGGATAAATTTCAATAAAGCAGAAATGCTTCTTGGGGAGGCTTGTAAACGGAAGCACTTAAATAAACAAACATATCGATACGATGCTAGAATGACTTTAAGGAGTAAGTTGATCATCTTAATTTCCGTCGCATGTATTTTCAAATTAACGGGGATCAATATGCAATTGTCCATCAAGAAACTCTCTACAAGATGGTTCTTATTTGTATGGAATAGCGTTAGACTGAAGATCTAAAGGTCCCTGGTTCAATCCGTGGTTTCGGCGCGTTGCTTTTGACAAAGATTTATCGTAATACTGGAAAATGTCGTTTTTATTGTGTTCTGCAAAATAACACCCAGTATCTCTCGAACTATATATTTCTCACCGCAATGTTAGAGGTAAAGAGTTTCCCTACACAATGCATACATTTGCAACACCCTAGCACTTCTGAAAATGCTCAAAAGTGTTTTTTAGAAAGTAGCATTTTTCATAAAGTATGTATATATGGTGTAGAAAACACCCTGTATCTCCTGAACAAATAGACATTTTTAAAGTTTGTTACCGCCATATTAAAGCTCGAGAGCTCCTCTACCTTGTCAATCTTCTAGCCCTTTTAGAAGTGCCCCAAAACTCTATTTAAAAATTAACATTGTTCAAAAAAATTTATAACGCGCAAAACATCCTGTATCTCGCGAACTAATTGACTTTTTTAAAGTTACTTACCGCCATTTTAAAGTCCAAAAGTTCCCCTACACGATGCATATCCTTTTGATTCAAGCCCTTCTGGAAATGCCCTAAACTGTCATTCAATAATTGGCATTCTTCAAAAAAAAATTGAAAACATGGTGCACAAAACACTCTGTATCTCATGAAATAAATGATTTTTTTAGAACGTGTTACCGCCATATTAAAGTTCAAGAGTTCCTTTATACAAGACATGTCTTATCAATCTTCCAGCCCTTCCGGAAGTGCACTAAAATGCCTTTTGAAAATTGGCATTTTTCAAAAACATTGAAAGCATGGTCTGAAAAGCACCCTGTATCTTGAAAACTATTTGACTTTTTTGAATTTTTTTACCTCCATCTTGAAGTTCGAGAGTCTCTCTATTCGAGAGATCTTCTAACCCCTAACCTTGCTAGAAGTGCCCTGAAAAGCACTTTTAAAACAGCCAATTTTGTCCCAAAAATTTCATTTTTTGGTCGAATAACAGGGATGAACTTTTTTATTAAAATTTTTTTTTCGGTCGAGGAACAGGATCGAACTTATTTACTCAAATAAAATTTTGATCGAACAACAGGGTCGAATTTTTTTGTTTAAATTTTTTTTGGTCGAAGAACAGGGCGAACTTACTTTCTTAAAATACTTTTTTCCTAAAATTTTCAGGTCGAGACATTAAGTTAAAAAGTTGGAATTTTGAAACCCTGAACGATGAAACAATATTTTTTTTTAAATTTAATAAAAGTTATTAATTATGAAAAAATTGGCGGAGGCGCCTGACATTTAAAAGAGTGGTTTAATTAAATATTGAAAACTACCTCACTGTGAAGAGGGGCTTTTAATGATACAATTTAAACAACTTGTCGCCTAATAGCAGTAAAGAATTTTCCAGTAAATCTCATTAAATGAAATGTGCACTCTCATCGAGCCTTAAGAATCAATTATCTCAGAAACTAATAGAGATAAACAAAAACCAAAAACACCCCGACGTTAAGCATCAAATCCTAGATACGATAACGTTTAAAAAGTTTGAAATATAACATGTGCCCACAAAAATTTCCGCCGCGATTTTCACGGAAAATAATACAGATAAAAAAGAACTTTCTTCATTTTGTTCATGCCGTGATGTAGATCTATAAAATGGCAGATTTAGTTTTTCCATTTTCCAAAGTTGACCGTAGACCTCTCAAAAAGATCAAGAGGTTACACTTGACTCTTTTTGGACTCAAAAAAATTTTTTTAAGCTACAAGAAAATGGAAAACGCTAATCGATTGAGTTTTCCAAGGGGATGAAAGATATCAAGTCAGTTTTCCGATAACATCAATATTTCGGAAAATGGGTGGTCAATTTAAAACTGATCAAATAAAATTACTTCCCCAATTTTCCTCACACTTTCCAAAATGATGAAAAACAATGCTAGGAATCCATTAATCCAGGTTTGGTTGCGCTATCTTTATTAGTTTATAAGTTACTGACAATTTTTAATTATTACATAAGTGTTGATAACTGTATATTTTAATATGTTATACAATGTAAAATTTAATTCTACATACGAATATGAAAACCGCTTTTCTCTATCTCTAATGGTTTTCAAGATAAGTGCGAAACACTGGTTTATTCGTTTTCTCTATCATTTCCTAAGCAAAAAATAAAAATAGGAAATAACATCTTTTTATTATCAAATATAGAAGAACATGTGATTCTACATACTTTATTTTAATAAAATTTTGGTCTAAATTAAAGCTTTTTAATAATAATAACCCTAATTAAGTCTGGTTTTGTCGCTATACAAATTACATATTTTTTTATTATGATTGCAAATAGGGCCTAAACGGTAAATGCGAGCCAAAAATGTTACCAAAATAATCGATATAGAATTAAATGATCCATCAGAATCCGAAAACAGAATTTAAAAATTCCAACTTTTAATTTCGAACATAAAAAAGAGAAATCTTTTGCCTTTTTTATAACGAAATGTTTTGTTTAATTTTTTTATGCATTGTTGGTCGTTGTTTAAGAAAGGTGCCATCTTGAAGAGAATTTTTTAAGGATCAAGAATATGAAGTTCTTTTTTCCGTACTCCTTTTAGTTCTCGAGATAATCACAATTTAATCTCGCCGCTTTTACGGGAAAATTTTAAAATAAGTCCGACCCTGTTGTTCAACCGAAAAAACTTGTAAGAAAATAAATTCGACCCTGTTCTTCGATAGAAAAATTTAAATAAAAAGTAAGTTCGCCCTGTTCTTTGACCGAAAAAATTTTTAACAAAAAAGTTCGACCCTGTTGTTCGACCAAAAATATTTTAACAAAAAAGTTTGACCCTCTTGTTCGATCAAATTTTTTTTAAGTAAATAAGTTCGACTCTGTTCTTCGCCCGAAAAAAAAAATTTATAAAAAAGTTCATACCTGTTATTAGACCAAAAAATTAAATTTTTGGGACAAAATTGGCTATTTTCAAAGTGCTTTTCAGGGCACTTCTAGCTAGGTTAGGGGGTTAGAAAAAGATCAATCTGGGAGAGAGACTCTCGAACTTCAAGATGGCGGTAAAAAACTTCAAAAAAGTCAAATAGTTCTCAAGAAACAGGGTGTTTTTCAAACCATGTTTTCAATCTTTTTGAAAAATGACAATTTTCAAAAGGCATTTTAGGGCACTTCCGGAAGGGCTGGAAGATTGATAAGGCATTCATAGTATCAAGTAACTCTTGAACTTTAATATTGCGGTGACACGTTCTACAAAAATCATTTATTTCACGAGATACAGAGTGTTTTGCACACCATGTTTTCAATTTTTTTGAAGAATGCCAATTATTGATTGACAGTTTAGGGCACTTCCAGAAAGGCTCGAAAATCAAAAGGGTATGCTTCGTGTAGGGGAACTTTTAGACTTTAAAATGGCGGTGAGCAACTTTACTGAAGTCAATTAGTTCGCGAGATGCCAGGTGTTTTCCACACCATGTTTTCAATTTTTTTTTAAATGCGAATTTTTAAAAAGGCATTTTTGGGCACTTCCGGAAGGGTTAGAAGATTGACAAAGTATGTGTAAAGGAGCTCTCGAGCTTTAATTTGGCGGAAACTTTAAAAAAAAAATGTCAATTAGTTCACGAGATACGGGGTGTTCTCTACACCATATATACATATTTTATGAAAAAGGCTACGTTCTAAAAAACACTTTTGAGCATTTTCAGAAGTCCTAAGGGGTTGCAAATGTAAGCAATGTGTAGGGAAACTCTCTACCTCTAACATTGCGGTGAGAAACTATAAAAAAAGTCATATAGTTCGAGAGATACTGGGTGTTATTTTGCAGACCACAATAAAAACAAAATTTTCGAGTATTACGATAAATCTTTGTCAAAAGCAACATGCCGAAATCAGGGATTGAACCAGGGACCTTTAGATCTTCAGTCTAACGCTATTCCATACAAATAAGAACCATCTTGTAGAGAATTTCTTGATGGACAATTGGAGGCTGAGAAATTGTAAGAACGTTAATTTTTTTGATTATTAATAGTACATTTTAAGGCTTTTTTAAGGGTTTAGGACGATTGAAAAATAAGGTTCCTTTAGTGAATCCTTTAAACTCTAATATGGCAAAATATATTATGTTTAGGGGTGTCTGACTGATGTTCGAACTATACCAAGTGTCTTGTAATGAGTAGCGCATGTTATAATAATGTTACGAATAATATATGCAAAAATGGAGCTTGCTAAAATAACGAATTTGACATCATAATTGGTACATCTTTGTTGGCTGTTAACTGTCAAAGGAACCACTATCCAGGTTTCATAATTAGGGATCGTTCTTTGCTGTATTGGGTACACACATAGAAACATTTTTATCTTTCCTAAAATGATGAAAGTCTGGCAGTCACGGGCTCTTAGACTACTATACGGCATGTAATATTTAATTTATTGCTATTGTTTTTATTTGCTATATTGATCGTATGTATATGTTTGCCAAAAATATTGTTAGCTATTTTTAGCTCGGTTTTCATTTTATAGAATCAAAATATCTTTTCTCGATTAATTCCTGTTTTCATAAAAAATGTAATAGCATTCTTTGATTCATCATATTTCTTACTTTTACAAAAGAATTTTCAGAAGAATACGAGTCTACAAAGAGAAAATATTTGAGCTCATATTTCTACTACGAGACATATTTTACGTCGCCTCCAACGAATTTGAGCCCAAAAGGATTTTTGAAAACAAATATATTTTGGGCATCTCAACCACCTGAGGCTTGCGCATGAGTACACCGTGCACGTACGGCGTACGCGGCGCGTATGCTCCTCCGTCTAGGCCTCGGCGGCGGCGTCGACGACCGTCACGTCAGTGCCGCAGCCGCTCTCGCCGCGAATGCCCCCAACGCACCCAAGCGTTCCGCCGTCGAGACTGAACGTGTCGCGCGTTTCATCACTTGTAAAAACATCCACAAGTTATTTTTCATTGTCACGTCCTGTTCGGTAATTCAACATAAAATAGATATAAATCTTTAATATTGTTGCTTGAAATGCTAGAAATACAAAATTCTTTCTGAAAATACTTCTTGTTAAATTACATACAAAATTATATATCGGAATATTTTAATCGGTGTTTTTAATTCAAGTTAGTAACGGTTAGGGTCCGCTCAAAAAGCAATGTCGCAAAAACCTTGCGACAACTCGCTCCATCTCAATGAGCCCGATTGACTCGCGCCTGTGCCAGTTCACCGCGCGTGCCGGAAAAGTTTGTCGGCGGTCAATTTACCCACCACCGACGCCAACGGCGGTACCCGCTCCAGAATGGTGATCATGACGTCGTGCTGCTGTTGGCGTTCAGTCCGCAAAGGCAGTTACGCCTGCGGCATTTACACCCTGGTAAGACATCGCCCGCCACAATTCCTAATCCTTGCCCATGCATGTACGACACGCAACCGGCGCGGAAACTTTAATTAATTAGTCTCGCAATGGGCGAGATGACTGGCGTGCACCCATCGGCGAGGGCAAGTAAAGGACAAGACAAGTTTAAGGCACCACGATTATGTTTATACGCCAGTAAACACGACCACTATAAAGGCAAACAATGTCCGAAATGATGTCGAATGGGAATTATCTCTGCCCCGGCGCGTAATGAAAGTGAAGGCTTGGTGCTCCCGAAAGTCGTAAAATTCGTGATCTCACTTTAGGGACGACCGCGAGAAATATGCCGAGACATCGGCCGCATCATCTTTATGTTTTATTACGATTTTTTGTTGCAATATGTTGTTCTCTTTGAAAATGTTTTATTTGATATTTAATTAAAATCTATGTTAACAGTAAGCAAGTAGAAACAAACAGTAGAAGAAAGTTAAAAGTAAACTATTGAATATTCACAACCCTTGTTTTGTTACGCTTCATTAAAAATGTTAAATCAAATTAATTACGACGTGAACGCCCATTCGGCGCGATCAATCTTCATGTTTAAGGGACGTTAAGTTTTCTACTCTGGATTCGTGACTTTATGGTCGCTGGATTGATGTTTTACTATATTAATCGATTGATCGCTATTAATTTTAAATATTTCGTGGTACTAATTAGGCTACTCGCGCGATCATTATATTGTTTTTTGAAGGTTACCACAATTCAAAAATATGAAATTATATTAAAACGAGTATGAACGCTTAATTATAAATATAAAATCGAGAACTATTTTATTTTGTTTGTCAAGCACTTAAACACTTTTTGTGTTTTTCACAGCTGCATTTGCAATTTATCAATTTTCGTATAAATTGATCTTTCCTGGTGATATTCAACATTGGCACAGTATTTTGGTATAATGTAGGAAAATATATTCATTTATCAGCGCTTCTTACGTCATAATACGCTTTGTTGCTAATTAACTTAACGGGCATTACCATTTCCCTGAATTTTTTCACCATTGGAATTTTTAATTAAAATAATAAATTTCATTTATTACGTTTCATATAGCTTTTTGTTGGTAGCTGATCCGTTGTTGCCGCGTTGTTCGTTTTTCTTCTCAAGGGAGTGATAAGTATAAATTACTGAATTGTGCGATATTGCTGACCGAGAAAACAGGGGGTATAATGTTTGTTGAACGGGTTTCTTCATAATCGATGAAAATATTAGCTTATAAATGAATATAAAAATCGGTAGCTTATATTTTCTTTATGACCTCAGATGACTGAATAAGTGCTCCAGTTAACTCTAATTATTCCAAATCAATATTTAATAATATATGTTATTATTATTATTTTTAAATTATTTTTTAATATTTCAGTGTGAAAATTAACATTGTATGAACATGATATTGTGTTATCTGTCGAGCGCGTGGTGCACTTACCTTTCCAAAAGCATAAATCACACTAAATTATGAAGCTTTTTTATCACTAACGGCAGCACTCCAAAATGTGCGCCGTGTTAATAGCTAACGACAATTTGCAAATGCGCGACAACGTTTACAAATAAAAGATAAAAGGACTACTTCCGTGTATATACACTGAATATTTATTTTCAGATAATGCTATATAAAAGGTTTCTAAATATATTTATTTTTTGCTACAATAGCTCTTACAATTTGCTTCAAATTAAAATGTTCGTCAAAATTTGTTTGCAGGCCTGTAATTATCTAACGGCAATGAAAATTTGAAAGTTTTTGTAAAACTTTGGAAACGTTGTAACATGCTGATTATCACTAGCACTGCAATCAATAAAATACATGGAAAATCTTTTAAACAAAAATGTTGTCAACTTTTTATAAAAGGACGCGTATAAATAAGTTTTTACTGAAAAAAAATTAAATATTAGAAATACAAATTCGTATAAAAATATTTCTGTTAAATTTTGTTTTGTGCTTTGGTAATTTTTTTAATATATATTTACATAAATTCAGTGCTTTAGGATACTAATTGCGGTTTTAAATAATCCTGCTTTCCTAACAACATTGTAGCTGTAAATATGTTTTATTTTTGTCTTTTTCTTTATTTACGACGTTATTGTTTGGATACAGACGAGAAAATCAAACCAGCTAATCCGTAATTTTAGCTTTCCCGAAAACCTACTAATCTGCTCGACGAAGACACCAAAATTGTCTCAGCTTTTAAGAAATGAAGCTTGTATCGGTATATTTTCAGGCGCTCGTTATATACGACGTTAGCCATATTGCGTCTATTTAAAAAAAGTATCACTAATAAAAAAATAAATAGCCGCAAAGAATATACTACCTAAATAATTTCTGTTGTCGAGCAAGACATAAATAACTGTTTTCTGTTTTCTTTGAAGTGAAAACAAAGAGGGCCACGAAGAAGAGAAAAGTTATGGGAGACTTTTTTGATGTTTCAGGTACGAACTAACAAACGACGTGCTGTTAATGAATCATTAAAGTAAAAAATGCCGTCATTAGTCATCTTACAACTAACGACCTGCTAAAAATCTGAAAACAAATGTTCTTCGTAATAAATCGAGTTATACTAGGGATTATATTTCACTTTCTTGTTAGCATTTTCTTAACAACTCTGTTGAAGATTGGTTTCTTTAAATATATCTATATGCGTTATAATTTTTGGCTTACATTTTTAAACATACAAAGCTCTTAATTTATTGAATTTGTTTGTGTCTCTGGAATTCATAACTAAATTTACTATCATACTATGCTTAACACAAAAATGGTTTTCCAAAAACATAACATTAACAAATAATAACAACACATAATATATAAAAAGATGAAGAGAGGGCAAAAATTTAATTTTAAATTTAATTTCCTATTTATTTAATGACCTAATGGGAATAATTAACCAATAAATGAAGGTATAGGGTTGACTGGAGATCAAAAGACTCTTGGTTGGGGTGCTTATATCATACGAGAATCACAATAAACAAAGTATAAACGTATTTTTATAAAATACATATATGTAATACAACAAACAATTGACAATAATACAAAGATGTATTTATAAAAGAAAATTGTGTTATGAATTTTCATTAAATTTTAATCCTTAAATACACATTTTGATTCTCATTAAATAACTATCATGATAAAATTGTTATTTAAACTTATGATATTAAATGCAAAAACCTAAACGTAGAAATAAACACTTAATTTATTAAACCTGACTTAAGTGCTATTTAGCTCACTTGGTACTTATTTTATTTCGCTATAAATTCTGTAAGATTATGACTTTTGATGACAAACAGCTATGAACTTTAAATTCCACTTTTTCGCATCTACGTTTTAAACAAGACCTAATTTCATTATTACTTTTTAAATTACTCCAAGGACAAAAAGTTACAAGACGTTATAATCAACCTCGTCGAAGGCTAGACGTGCGAAATTAAATTTGTAATTAAGCCAGCGCATGTACTAAAAGTACATACTAAAGTTACAATACGGAGTCGTTTTGCTTGGGTCTTTCATTTCCTTTCGTTTACTAGCTCAAATTTTTGTCCGCGCTGCTTATAAAGACTTTCGAACGCTAGCGATATTAAAGCCCAACCTAAAATGATGGAAAATGGGCCTGTCATAATCTTCTTCCGGCAGGATATAAATTGATATAAACGCCGGAGTTTTAATAGTAAATCTTAATTAATATCCTTGTTAAAATTGCCGCAAAGCGTTAAGCACATCAAAAGTGTATTATATATTTGCCAAATTTACGCCTCGAATGCTACGCGAAGATTTATACAAATTAAATACTTAATACTTAAAACTTCCACCAAGTTTACAACTTTATGTTGCGTTTGATCCGTTTGGCTGTATATAGGTACCTACTGCTTAAATTATATATTTTTGCACTTAATATTTTTATGGTATTTTAAACTAAAAATTGAACACAAATATTAAATCAAAACAAACAAATGGAAATCAGAAATAACACTAATACTGAGAATTAAATTCTATTATTTGTACTAGATACAAAAGAAATGATTTCAACATATTTTTGGTAAAATATCAAACTTTTGTCATCACAATAATATTGAAATACTTTCCAAATATTTCCACCCAAACCTACCTCATTAAATAAGTATCAGCACATACTACACGTCATATAGTAGCAATGAAAGCAGACAAGCCGAATACGGGCATTTGCAAATTTACTCGTATATCACAATAATATGCGAAATGTTTGCCGTCCAAATGTGCGCAGTACGAGTCTCTTGTGTACAATAAATATAAAAACTTTCCCGCCATGCAATGTTGCAATACCTTACGCTATCTGGCAATGTTCAGAAGTTTAACAATGAAAATTGACATACAGCATATAAGTATTTCAGAAATTGAATTCGAAAAAAATGTATTCATTTTATTATCTTATTGCATTGAACGTACAATTAAAAGTGTTACTGATTTAAATTTGTGTAATGTTTAAATTAAAAAATAACAATTGTTTATTGAGCAATCAATACACCCATGTCGACAATTTGTAAACTTTGGCCACAAATAAAACCTCTTGCCCTGGCGTCGCATCGTACAAAATTGAGCACGAAACAAGAATCGTTCCTGAAAACAGGAACTGAAGACGGAAGAAAAGTCAAGGAAAGCAAATAAAAGCCGGTTGCAATTTCAACAGCAAATTGCACAATGTTCCAACATACACATAATCACTAGGTACATGAGTTAAATCGCTGTAATTACATCAAGTCATATTCCAAAAAAGACATAAATATTCTTTGAAAAAATAATTTTTATTATCAACAATACGACCCAGTGCTAATTGAATGGTTGTTAACATCTGTGGTTAGTTGTATTGCATACACGCTAGAACAAATAAATCCAGATTTAAAGCTGTTGCTTACGCATTATTTGTGTTTTTGTGTGGGTTGGTTAGCACACATACAGCTGACGTATTTATAGGCATTGTGCGAAGAGTGTCCGGAAAATTCAA